TATAGACAAAGCAAGATAAATAAAAAGCACAACATAAAGTGGTTGACACTAAAACCAAATATACCAATGATGACCATAAATATTAATGAAGAACACTTTGCAATTAAGAGACAGAGGTTGTCAGTTAAGAATATTTTTTAAATCCCAGCTATATGTCAGTTAGTAGAGCAGCATATAAAATGTAAGAATCCATAAATGTTGAAAGTAAAAATATTTAAAGGGGTGGAGCTGGGGGAGGGAGAGAATATACCAAACCAGTGGTATTCAAAAAAAACCTAACATGGTAACATTAATGTAAGTCAAAAAACGACTTTAAGGCAAAAGAAAATACATTATGATGAAAGAAACACTTTATCAGGAAGATATGTCAGAATTATCTAGTAACACAGTTTCAAAATATATACCCAAATTGACAGAATTATAAGGAGAAATCTACAAATCCATAATCAATGGGGGGAGAATTTAGCATCCTTTTTTGTAACTGTAAATCCATTTTGGTCATAGCTGATCATTCAAATGTCTCCCCACCCCACCCCCACCCAAAAAACTGCTAAAGGACACACAACTTAAACTACATAAAGTTCAATATAATGAAATATATAGAGAATTGTCCAGAAGGTTTGATAAACAATTCTACCAAACATCAAGGAACACATAATCCTCATATTACACAAATAGCTGCTGAGAATAGAGTGTGCAGAAATGTGGTAAATTCTTTTCATATGTCTCGTAAGTATGATGCCAAAAAGAGACAAGGACAGTACAAAAAAGGAATACTGCAGGCCAGTCTCATTTCAGGACAGAGATGCAAAAGCTCTAAATAAAATATTTGCCAAACAAACCCGGGAATATATGCATAAAAATACATCACCACCAAGCTGAGTTTATTCCAAGACTGCAAGATTAATTAAACATTAGAATATCTATTAATTTATCACAGTAACAATTTAAGGAGAAATCATATGATCATGTCAACAGATGTGGAAAAATCATTTAATAAAATTAAACATTCATTCATGTTCAAAGTAGGAAACAGATAGCAACTTAAACTGATAAAACATAAATACCAAAAATCTATAGAAACATATATATTCATACATAATAGTGAATCCTTAGAAATAAGAGCAGGAATAACAAAGGGATACCTATAGATACTGGTTCTTCTCACTGAAGTATTAGAGTTCCCAGCCAGCAAAATAGGACAAAAAAAGAAACATAAGGAGTGAGGATGGAAAGAAAGGAACAAAGCTGTCATCAGTTATTATGAGTTGATTAACTATATGCAGCAATCTGAGAGATTTTAAGACATTATTAATTAGAGCAACTTTTTGATTTTTACTTGATATTTGATGTTTTTTATTTTGATGTATTTGATTATTTATTTGCCTAGTTTTATTATTATTATTCAATTATTAATTTGAACAAGTTTTGCTAGATGGCAGATCAACATACAAAAATCAATAGCTTTTTTAATACCAGCAGATAATTGAAAATATCTTTTGTTTAAAAAAAAAAAAAAACTTCCAGTTACAATAGCAACAGCCAATATGGGATACCTAGAAATCAAATAAAAGATACATAAGGCACAGCTAATGTCACTGTATTGAGAGGACTAAAAACTTTATTGAAAGATATAAGAAAATTCTCCATAGATGGAAGGCTATTTCATGTTCTTGAATGGGAAAAGTCAGTTTCACAAAGACGACAATTATACCAAATTAGTCTATATATACAGTGTGAAAAAAAGAAATCCCAACCTAGTTTTTCACGGAAGTTAACAAACTAATGGTAAAATTTATATAAGGGAGCCAGGAAGATTTGAAGTGGAAGGTGAAGAAATTTGCCATATGAGATGTAATGATTTATTATAAAGTAATAATATTAAGAAAATGTATAATTGGTGAAGTTATGATGAATACCCAGAGACAGACCCAGACTCATGGGAAACCTTACAAATGAAAGAAATATTACAAATCAGAAGAGAAACAAGTGATTACACATTAAATAGAACTGAAACAGTTGTTTATATGCACATTAAAAAAAATTCCTTCCTTTTATGTACAAAAGTAAATTCCAAATGGATTAAAGACAAATATGAAAAACAAAACCATACCACTCTCAAGAGAAAATACAGGATGATATTTTTATGAACTTGGAGTGGATAAAGATTTCTCAATAATAAACAAATCATAAATTATAAAGACATTTTAAAAATCAACTGAATTAAGATGGCAACTTTAAAAGTGATAAACAAAAAATTGGTGTCCAAGACTAAATACAGAACTTCTATTAACCAATAAGAAAACATAAACAGCCCAGTGGAAAATAGGCAAAGAATATGAAGAGTCGCGATATGGCCAAATCATGGGAGATGAAGGGTGCTTGGCCTCACCACTAATTAAGGAAATGAAAATCAAAACAAAGAACTGAGATGCCATCTCACACCCCATCAGACTGGCAAAAATCAATGTGTCAAGACCAAATGTTGGCAAGGATGTGGAGCAACAGAAACACTCATGCTGTTGGTGGGTGTATAAATTGTTATAACCATGGTGGTAGGCAGAATAATGTCCCCCAAAGATATCCATGTCTGAATTCCCACAACAGTGAATGCATTATGTTTCATTGTGTTGAAGATGGAATTAATGTTGCTATATAAGATAGGGAGATAATCCTGTACATGCACCCCATGTAATCACAAGGGTTCTTAAAAATGAGAGAAAATCAGAGGAAGAGATGTGATGAGAGAAGCAAGTTCAGAGAAATCATATTTTCGTGACTTTGAAGATGGAGAAAAGGGACTCTAGGGAATGCTGATGGTCTCTAGAAAGTAGAAGTCAAGGAAACAGATTCCCTTCTACAATTCCAGCAAGGAACCCAGTCCTTCCAATGCCTGCATTTTAGCTTAGTGAGATTCACTTAGGACTACTTCTGAACTACAGATATAAAAGATAATAAATTTGTGGGGTTTTTTGGCCACTTAGTTTCCAGTAATTTCTTACTGAAGCTATAGAAAACTAATACAACCACTTTGCCAAGAGATTTTAGAACATCTAGCAACTTAATTCCCAGCAACATAACCACAGCATTTCTACTTAATTATGTGGTCTAGGAACCATCAGTATCACCTGAGAGCTTGTTAGAAATTAAGATTCTTAAGATCTACCCTTGACCTTCTCAATCAATATCTATGTTTTAACAAGATATCCAGGGGATAGCCAAGTGCACTGAACTCAGAAGCAGTACCCTAGGGAATATCTCCCATTTATGCCCAAAGAAATAGGTCTAAAAATTGCAGCACTGTTGGTGAAAGCAAATGATAGTACTAATAGCAATAATAATAATAACAATAATAAAATATCTTTCAACCATAGCAGGTATAAATAAATCGTTGTTTATTTATTTAATAGAAATCATACAGCTGTGAGAATAAGTGAGGAGAGCTTCTGAGATAAAACTTCAAATGATGTTGAACAGGAAAAAATACATGCTGCAAAGAGATATGTACAGTAGGATACTATTGATAAAAAATTTTAAAGCATGCAAAACAAGACTATAAAATGCTATTTGGTACATATGCAATTAAACTGTAAAAGCATTCATGAAGATGATAAATGCCAACTTAAGGATGGTGGTTGCCTCTGGGGAGAAAAGGAAGTGAGTGGGATAGGAAGTGATCATGTGGGATATTATGACAAGTAGGCTAGGAAGTTTAAGTTTCGACAAAGCTACTACACGAGTGTTCTTTATATTATTGCCTACAGTTGTCTAATGGCTTGAAATATTTTGTAATTTAAAAGAATATATTAGTTTATGTATAAAATTCATAGGATTTCTATACCAAAGTGTCTTCACCAGTTTCTAATTCAAAAGAAGTTCTTAGGCATTATGTGATGAAAAGTCAAGTCATCTGAAAATGACTTATCTGTAGTTTCCCCCTTCAAGGTTCCCAGGGCCTTTGTGAGTACTGTACACTAATAATGTACATTCAATTTGATCTAGAAACACCCTTTCATTAAATGGAGTCACTGATAGCTGAAAAGGCTGGCCTTTCCTTAATCCTCATGGCTAAATGTCCTTTATATATGGACAAGTCCCCCAGCATTTCATAAAGGTCTGGGTACGTGTAGTCACTGCCATTTGACTCTCCGTGTGTATAATCTTCTATACACAAAGCCAACTTTAAAGTAAATAGAGGCAAGAAAATTCTTGTTCAAGAAATCCCCAGAAACCAATTCTCCTGAGGCATTTAAGTACATGAGAGGATTTTTAGAAAAATCCATACCATCAAGCGACAGGCAGATGTTTCCCATATGCTGTTTGTAGATAAGTCTCTGTAGCTTGTGCAATTTTTTTTCTTGAGATTATGCCATCTAAAATCCAGTTGTTCATACATGTCTTTGAGGCAAATCATGTGTGATAGAGTCTAAACGTCTCTTGAAATACTGCAAAAATTGGAGCTTTAATTTGGCACTGCTATTTTTCTAGCTATTCATAAAAATAAGGCACAGTTTCCATACATCAGTTGTCTAAATCATGCCTCTGTATCTCTCAGGAACATGAACACATTCCTCTGCGCTTTATTTATTTATTTAATTTTGGTTCAGTTTCATTTAGGTTCATGCTTACGGCATTGCTTAGTTTTCATTTAAACAGCATCCAAATGTTGTTTCTCATCAGGAATTCTTTATCAGAACTGTTTCCTTCTCAAGGGTGTGGTCAGGTTATTGTGAAATTTTCCTCTTTCCCCATGGTACATTACTCAGGAAAAATTTTCATTCGATAATAATGCTGATCATATCATAACATATTCCTTGTTATGCAACCAGTTTAAGTCATGCTTTAGTGATTTTTCAGAATAAGGTACTGTGTTATTTTTAGCAGACTTGGCCATCAGTTCGTGCTATTTAATGTGTGAGTAAATGCAAAGGTTGTTGACCTTAATGGTATTTCTATTGCTCACCGGCTGATCATCATTCCCTTTATTGCTCTTTCCACAGGTAATGCTGTACTGTTGAGGGTGTTATCTGCTGTGTATGAAAAGCAGCCTCAGCCAATTAACAGACACCTGTCTGAACTCCTGGCCTTGATGTCGCAGCTGGAACCACCAGAACAGTACCACCTCCTACGGCTTCTGCATGTAGCTGCAAAGAGAAAGCAACCCGAGGTAAAAAGTACATCATACACATGGTGGTCCACACAACCAGGCTCATTTCTGGGCATCTGAAGAGGATGTCCGCTTCAGATTTCCTCTCTCCTGTCTACACGTGGCCATCTTTAAATGAAAGCACTCATCTGGAATCATAAAGGAGGTGATGGCAGAAGTTGGGTACTGTCTTAGGGTTCTCCAGAGAAACAGAACCAATAGGATACACAGAGAGAATTGTAACTGGCTTGTGTGGTTAGGAGGCTGAGGAGTCCCATAATCTGCCATCTGCAAGCCAAAGATCTGAGAGAGCAAGTGGTGTAGCTCCAGTAGGAGTCCGAAGGCCTGAGAATAAGGAGAACTGAAGGCGTGGGTTCTACCCAAAATCTAAAAGCCTGGGAGCCAGAGGGCTGGTGGTATGGGCCCCAGTTCAAGTGCAGGAGCAGACCAACACCCCAATGCAAGCAGTCATATTCAGACCCTCAACAAATTGGATGAGACCCACTCCACTGGGGAAGGCAATCTGCTTTATTCATCCTATCAGTTTAAATGACAGTCTCACTGGAAACACCCAGGATAATGTTTGGTCTCATACATCCAGGATGTAAACAACACCCAGGATAATATTTGTTTCATGGACACACACAGGGTAATGTTTGGTCAAATACCTGGGTACTCACTGACCCCGTGAATTTGACACATAAAATTAAACATGACAGGTACAGTAATAAAAACACAACACATGTCTATATTAGTGTGGCTATGGAGTCCTAGGAATCCATGGTTTCTAAGATAGGACCAAGGAAAGGATCTACATATGCCTTGATTCATGGGAAAATTGGCTTATACTGAGAGCAAAAACTCATTTTCTAGATAGCAAATTAGTTGATCTCTGGTTTCAAGTAAAAGATTATGATAATTAGGATGACTGTAATTATCAGTAACAAAACACCCAACCACACTGGTTTAAACAATGAAACTAATATGGGGGAAAAAGTCTTCAGAGGCTCAACTGATGTGAACAGAAGTTTCTCGGTCTTCATTTCTCAAATTGGATTTCTAGGTTTTTGCTTCCATTTTCTGCAGGTTTTCTCCTTGTGGGCTCCACACAAGTGCTAGAGAGCCTCTAGGAACCATGTTTTTTCTATGTCCAACACCAGCACCACAAACACACAAGTAAAAGTCCTTATATTCTCTGTTTAGGACATGTGCTCTAGTCCTGGAGCTTCTGCTGAACCCCAAGGAGATTCATATAGGAACTAGAGGCTGCTGGAAGGGGGAAGTAGAAATGGATTATGGAGGGTACCCAAATATGTACCTAGTGAAGATAATGGTCAACCCAATGTTATGTTAATTACAGTTGCATCTCTGCTCCATCTCCTGATAATGTCAATATACCCCACTTGAAAAAACCAGTCAACACTAAGGTGAAAACTGAACCATTTGTATTCAACATTCAAACTGTTCAAAGAAAGGCAAGCAAGAATAGTCATATGCATAATAAACCACAGTAAGCTCCTTGTGGTGAGGAATGATTTCTTCTTCTTCTGGACCCCAGACCTTGGCATAGTATCTGATAACAATAAACATTCATAAAGCCAAACTGAATGAAACAGGGTGATAAGAGCTCTGCAGATGGTACAAATGGAGAAGGAGGGGCAGTGAATTCTGCCTTCGGGGGAAAAGAGGTGCCGTGAAGACTCACGAAGGGAGTGGCATCAGGGCCACACACTGAAGAATGGAAAGTTTCTCTTTCCATGTGGAGCAGAGGGGAAGGGCCTTTAGGAGGTGGAGACAAGGCTGGGAGGCCTGAAGAGCAGGATCAAGCCCCATCCCCCAAATTTTTCAACTCAGTAGGTCTGGGTTGGGGCTCCTGATTCTGCCTTTTTGCAAGTTCCCAGGTGATACTCCTCCTTCTGGCTGCCTCAGGGACCACACTTTGAGTAGCAAGCCTATAGGTCCGGCAGAGGATGAGGGGACCCTTTTGTTACCTCGTATGCACCTTCACTTTTGCCCTTAGAACAATATATTGTCATTATTTTTGCGTATTTGTCTCTTCAGTGCACTGTTAACTCCTTAAGGAGCATAGGACCTGTGTCATAGTCATATATTTGTATGCCCAGCACAGCACTGGGCACCTGGTAGGGTTTCAATAAAAAGTTGCTGAATTCAGAAATGAATAAATGAACAAAGGACCAAAAAAAAAAAAATGGCCTTGAAGAACCAGGGGGAAAATGTGTTGTGGTCTCCACCAAGGGAAGAGTGGCTCAACAGGGCCAAGATGCAGAAAAGGAAAGGAAAGGAGGCTGGAGGGGGAACCAACCTTGGATTTGGCAACTGGGAAACCACTAGGGAGCCATGGGAGGCAGCATCTGCGGGGCTGGGCGGCCCGCGCAGTCACCTCCTGCAGATCATGTCTGGAAGGGAAGGTTAGAAAATGGCCTCATGAGTGTGGACGTTCAGAAGAAATAAGGGAGCCTGAAAAAATTCTAGTAAGAGTAAAGAGATTGAAGATGTGAGAGAAAATATTAGACAGATGTGGTGCCAGGGAGAGAATTGCAGAGACAAGTGGAAGAACCAGTGTCGGAAAAGACCAAGGACAGAAAGGCCAGGCAGAGCTGCGGCAGGGTCCCGGCGAGGGGCAGAGGCGAGGGGCCACCGGGTCACCCAGAAGGCGGCTCAGGGCAAGGGTGTCTGTTTTCTGTCTCTGCTGTAACAAATGGCTATACACTTGGCGGTTTAAAACAACACAGATTTATTCTCTTGCAGTGCTGGGGGTCAGAGGCCCTCAGCGGGTCAGCAGGGCTGCTGCCTTCTGTGGCTCATGGCCACATCGTTCTCACCTCTGCTTTTCTCACCACGTCTCCTCGGACCCTGACCCTCTTCCTTCCTTCTTCTAAGGGCCCTTGTGATTATATTGGTGTCACCCAATGACCCAGGATTATCTCTCCATCTCACCACCCTTACTTTAATCACACCCACAAAATCCCTTTTGCCATGTAAGGCAACATATTCACAGGTTCCAGGGATTAGGATTGGACACCTTGCGGGAGTCATTCTGCCTACCACAGAGGGAGTCTGGGGACCAGGCGATGTGGGGAATCGGGGAGGGAGTGACTAAAAGGCCAAACTTTGTTTTACAAAGGAGGCAGCTAGCCTGCTGTTTGATCTGCAGCCCAGAGCAAGAGCAAACCACACGCGGTGTTTGGAAAGGCAGGTTCAGTAAAGATCCAAGGAGCATCTGAGAAGGGTAACTTAATCCAATTTATTTCCCATAGGGGAGAGGCTAGGCGTGAAGATAAACGGAACCAGGAGGAGGCTCACCTACAGGGAGGGGAGGGGAGGGACTTGGGGTCACCCACCCAATAGGTATTGTCCAAGAGTGAGGGTGGCATTCAGAGGTCCCATCAGACCCCTGGTCACAGTCCTTCTACGCTGCCCAGAGACTCAAGAAAGAGCTTAGTAGGCTACTGAAAACGGGCCCCTGACCACTGCCTGGCCTCAGAGGGTCCTTTAATCCCAAACCCTTGACCCAGGGACCACAAACAGGCACTCTTGGGGCACTGAGTTTGTACATATATGCTAGTTCTCCACCTGGAATGGTCTTCCCTCACCACCACCATACTTTCTGGGCTGCCTGTTCCTGGTCCTTTACACGGCTGCTTAGATGTCAGCTTCTTGCTGGGAGTCTCCTTTGACTCCTTCCTTCCCCTTAATCTCTGCCATAGCAAATTGCACATTGTAATGTATTTGTCTCTACTGGTCTCCCGACCTCTGGACCACCTGGGCAGTTGTGCACATGCTTCAGACACAAGGACCATCTTGTGCATCACTGTGTCCCCAGTGCCTGGCACAGTACCTGATGCACAGGTCCCTCCTAGAATATCTCTCAGTACAGGTAAGTTAGTATTAGTGCCTAATTTGCAGAGGACTTTATCCTTCACAAAGGACGTTTTTTTAACATCTAATATCCGATTCAATCCTATCAATAACTCTGACAGGTCCAGGACTCTTGACTCCCAATCCCCTGCACTCTGAAGCCTGGGGAAGTAGTGGGGCAGCGTCCACTTGAAAAGGTCACAGAAAATAGCATTTTCAGCAAGTTACAAGAGGCAAGGGATGGGGAACAAAGGACACTAATAGTGGCCAAGCTCACATCAGGCACCAGACACTGTGCAGGTGTCGTACAGACATTGTCTCACTTGTTCCCCACAGCAAACGTTTCATTTTGTAAACAGAAAATCAAGGATGTGGGATGTTAACAACAGTGGGGGTGCCAAGGAATGACTTGGTGATGTGGCTTTTCAAGCCACCTACATCTTTACCTGCCCCTCCAATTGTCATATGAGCAATGTCCCTGTCTCCCACCAGCCAACACAGTCACACTGCCCTCCCTAAGACTGCAATTTACAGAAAACCTGGGACTGGTTAGGTAACTCTCCCAAAGCCACACAGATAAAACCCAGCAACGTCATAAACCCAGTCTAACTCCGGCCAATGAGATCTTTTGACAGCTACACACTAAAAAATTGAGGCGGTAGGCTGTGACTTGTGAAGCAGACGGATGCAGCAGAAGATGGGCATCAGAAAGTTGAGCTGGACAAGAGGAGGAGGAGATTTGAACAGAATGAGGAGGAAGAAGTGAAAGCAGAGCCCAGTAGGCATTGTGGGTGCTGAGTATGGACCCCAGGATGTAGAGGCAAGGGTTTAGGAAGCACCCACAGTGATGCGAATGGACCTTGTGCCAGGACCCCACCTCAGGGGATGAGCTGTGACAGGGGAACAGCCCATCACTCTCCTTCTCATCAGCACTTCCCTTCTTGTTAAAACACGCCTCTGCCTCCACTCGCCTTCTTTGCCCTTCCTGGGGCTCTTCATGGCTACACTGGTCATGAGGTGAGCAGGCACTAAGGCAGAGAAATGCCTGGTTCACACCTCTCCTGTTTCTAAGTTGGCACTGGGCAAGGGGCAGGGGAGGAAGCATGGAGCAAGGGCTTATTGAAAAAGGAAAGTGAAGTAAC